GGTGCTCCCGCCCTGCCCAGGCAGCGAGGGCTGGGGACATGGGGTGCGACGGTCCTGCCCATTGACAGCCACAGACACGTGCCCTCTAGGATATAAAACTATAACCTTTATATATATATTTATAGATATGTCACTATAACCATATTATAGTTAATAAATCATTCCTTAGGAATCTTCTTTGCCCAGAAGTGCATGCTGACAGGCACGGGATGAGCAGCACTGGGGGGACAGTGGGACTGGGACCAGGAGAGGTGGGGAGCAGGGGAAGGGGATGCTGCTGGAGAGGATTGTCCCCAGCAGCCCGGGCAGGCAGCTCTGCTGTGCCAGGAGGGACGGGCACAGCCCTGGTGCTGCACACAGGGTGGGGCTCGGGGTCAGCGCTGCCAGTGCTGACCCCAAAACTGCCACCATCTGCCCCCGCCCGGACACCCCTGAGAGACCCACCCCAAACACCTCGGGCCAGGCTCCCAGGGAGCCTGGGGCTCCTCAGAGCTCCCCTTTGCTGACCCCAGCAAACACAGAAACCAAATTCCACCCCATCAGGCAAAGCAGACAGTGAACAATAGCACAGGGGAACTGGGGCACTGCCAGGAGTGTGAAGCCAGCACGGCAGGGTGCCCCCCGTGAGCAGCACAGACCAGGGACCTGCCGTCCCTCCTGGACCTGCCTCCAGCCCCAGGACCAACAAGCACCACAGCAAACCCACGTGCCAAACCAGGAACCAGCCCCACGACGGCTCCTCACAAGCTCTGAGAGCTCATGCAGGGCTGCTCCCTTCCTTCTCCAAACAGCTGCAAAGAGAAAAACCCAACTCCCAGGGAATCCTGAGTCTCCATGGTTTGAACCCACTGGCACAGACCCTCAGACAGACCAGAGGCACAGCGCTGTCCTGGGGTCACTCCCTGCTGTCCCCACCCTGCAAAGCCCAGCTCATCGCAGCCTAGGAAGGGTCCTGCACATCCTGGCAGGAAAGCTGGTCTGGAGCAGGACACAAGGAGAGGAGAGAGGTGCTAAAATCTGTGAAACCCACACGCTGGTGAAGTGCAGGGGAGTGACCCTCCAGTGGGCTGGAGCTGGCATTTTCACCCCCCAAACAGAAACCACCTTTGTAGATCATCTGACAGAGGCTTTCCTACCAGCCCCTTGGAGGGCTCTGTGTGTGGGGGAAGAGTGGGGAGAAAGGAGGGAACAAAAGGGTTTTGCTTTCAGGTGTGCCAAGGGGTGACTACCCAGCCCGCAGCTGAGGGGCACAGCTCAGCTCTGAACAGAATCAGCCTTTCCCCACCACACTGCTACCAGTAGTTCACTGGAATAACTGGGAGGACAGTGAACAGGCCTGAAGTCTGTGTGCTGGGGCAGGCTGCCAGCATCTTTGCCTGCTTAAGTGTGTAATAAACTCTCTCTATACATAATATAACTAACAAAATATATATCAAGTGTATGGCTCTGATTTAAACAGAAGTTTGCACTGCATGCTCAACACAGGGGATTAGAAAATAGAAGGAAACCAGCTCAATTCTTTTACAAAAAGGTAGCAGCAAAAAAGTTTGCAAAAGTCTTAAGATAGCTGGGTAGGAAACAGTCCAAACAGCAAATATTTCCCTTATTTGATGCTTTACAACTATCCATTCAAGGTGACAGCAAAGAATCCTCCACCACTGCAACCAGTGCCCGATGCCACCGGCGGGAGGTTCCCCGGGCATGGCTGCCTGTGCCACAGCATCCCCAGGAGGGCACCCAGGGGCCCTGCACACGAGTGAAACACCTCGAATCCCCCAGAGCCCCCGGCTCCCAGCACAGTGCCAGGGCAACCTCAGCAGTTCTGCTGGAGCTTGGCATGTCCAGGGCAGTAAACACCTCTGACACAGCCCAGGCAGCCTGCATGGAAAGTCAGATTTTTGGGCTGCATCCAGGCAGATTTCAAAGTGTATTTTACTGCTGCCTGGATCTGCCTTTGCCTGTGAAGGCTGGCTTTTGTCTGCTTCTCTTAATATTCAGAGCTGGGAGGGCATTTCTGGCAGCAGCACAAGAGCTGGGGCAGCACTGAGCTCCCCCCTGCTGCCCTGGCTGGGGAGAGGAGCCTGAAGTCAGCAGAGCCATGGAGGGATTCCGGGTTCCCTCCTTTCCTCCTGCAAATCCCAAAGTGGGGAACTAACCTCAGCAAGGTGTGGGGAGCCAGCAGCCAGGGCCTTGGCTTCCTGCGTTTGGAAGCAGGTGAGGAACCCCAGGTGAAGAAGCCTCAGGGGGTGCCAGGCTGTGGGCAGGACAGACGGACACATCCCAGCTCTCCAGAACTGAGCTCTCAAACACCTCCTGGTGCAGGAGCCTCCTGCACTCCCCTGGCCAGGCTCTCCTTTGAGAGGACTGGAGTTACTCCAGGTTCAGTGGCTGTACCCACGCTCCTGGGGGAACAAGAAGTGCAGCAGGACTGTGCCCAGCAGGGAGGAGTGAGCAGAGAGTGCTCCTGAATGCTAATAAAGTCTGCCTTCCTCTGAGGCTGGCATGGCCAGGGACAAGGACAGGCTGTGCTATGGATCACACACATACCAGAGACCAGGACCAGCTCCTTCAACACCACAGCCCCCCAAAACAAATCTACTGGGGGTTGCTGCAGCCAGGTGATCCATGCCAGTGGCCACAAACCCCCTGTGGTGGGTGCCTGGGGTCCCTGAGCCCCTTTGCTGTCTCCTCACCCATATACCCCTATACCAGGTCCCCTGTCCCCAAGCAAGGAGCTCCAACCCTGGCAGCACCCACATCGTGGGTGATGGAGCACACAACGACATGGAGTGACAGAGTGGGTAGGGGCATGACTAGACCCACCCTGGCCGAGGGGGACAGAGCCTGGGCTGTCACCTCAGACAGACAACGTGGTGGCCACTTGCTGCTGACACCCCCAGCCTGACTGGAGGCAACCCAGACCCTTGGGAAGCAGAGACAGGGACAGCTGGGGATGGCTGGCCAAGGAGGCTGTGGGTCTGGTAACCAAGCAGAGCAGACAGCTGGACATGGGAGCCTGTGGGCTGGGGGTCGGGGTGAGGCAAAGTGCTCAAGGTGAGGAGGAGAAGCAGCCAAGGGCAGCGCGCTGGGCGGGGGGCTCAGTCTGCCTTCCCCAGCTTCGCTATCAGCTCGTCGCAGATCTTGGTTAGCTCCTCAATCTCCTGGTTCTGGAAGAAAAGCAGACCTTGAGGACCCCCGTGGTGGCACAGATGGGGATAACACCGGGCCCATCTGCCACCCAGCCAGTGCAGGAAGGGGCACCTGCTCCTACACTTGTCCCTATGAAAGCTCCTCTGAGCATCATCCAGGTGCTGTACAGACCCCTGGGCTCACCCCTCCTTGTCCCCAGCAGCCCCGGGTGCTGCACAGACACCCAGCTCCAGCCCACCATGCTCTGCTCAGCCTGTGTCCCTGCCAGCAGGCACAGGAACAAGCTCTGCCCCTGCTCCAAGAGAGCTGAACGTGTGCCAGCCCTGCCCTGGCAGCCACCGCACAGCGCGGGGCCAGGCCTGTGCCTGGGCAGGGGCTGCATCCCCTTCCTTGCACGGGGACACAGCCGTGCCTTTCAACAGCACAAACCATCAGCAAAACAACCCAAAAGCAAAATAATTCACAAGCAAAAACAACAACAAAAGATCACGAGCAAAGAAATTAAAAAAAAAAATCGCAAGCAAAGAAATCCCCAAAAATCAAACCCACAAAACACTTTTTGGGGCTGACGAGTCCTGCAGGACACACCCAGCCCTGCCAGGGTGCTGCCCGGGGGTGCAGAGGGGAGGTGGGTGCGTTACCTTCTGCTGCAGGGCTCTCTCCAGGGACTCCACCTTCATCTGCTCCTTGCGCAGCCCCGCGTGCAGCGCCGCGCCCTCCGCCCTGGCCTTGGCGCGCACCTGGGCGATCTCCTCGTTGGCTCTGGGGTTTGGAGAGAAGGGATGGGGGTCACGTCCTGGGGCAGGGGGAGCATCATGGCACTCTTAGGCTGCGCCCCGTCAGGGGTGGTTTTCCCGTGTGGAAAACCTGCACGAAACTGGATGAATTCAGCTCCTCGGAGCTCCTGGTTGGGAGTTTCTGGTTCCCCACCCACTTCACTCAGGGCTACAGCACATGGGTGAGCTGCTGCTCATCAGCTGAGCTGCACAACCCCTTCATGCTCCACAAACACGAGCCCTCTGAAATGTAGGAATTTGTTAAGTGACTGTAAACAGACTGAGAACCTCAGTTTTTCCATTAAAAAGAAAACCTAAGCAGAGATCAGAGAACCCAGGCAGGGATTTGTGCTGGCTCACTTAACAGCCATTTCATGCCATTTGTAGAAGGCAGCTTTTCATATCAATAAGCTCCTGCCTTCCAACCTCAGGAAGGCCAAGAGGAGACACTGCCCTACAAGGTCTTGAAGCACCCAAAAGCTCCTCAGCACACACAGCAATCTTGGGCATGACCTTACTTGTCCAGTTTTTCCTCTGCATGGACTTTCAGGGCCTGATAGCGCTGCTCTTCCTGCTTGACCCGGGCTAAATAATCCTGAGCACACTTCTTCAGAGCTTCCTCATTCTGGGGGGAAAAAAAACAAACACACATCCATCTGCATTGGGACTGAGATGTTGCTCTGATGGGACAATAAATCCTGTTCTGTGTGTAACAGAAATAGACTCAGCTTCTCCCTGATGCTGGAGCCCCTTATCCAGCTCAACAGCCTGGAAAAGTGTGGGGACAGAGCCAGGCTTCCTGGGGACACGCTGCCCTGGCACCTGCCCTGCCCTTGGCTGCAGCCCTGCCCAGGGCTGGGGGCTTCAGCTCAGCAGGAGAGGGATACAGAGATGAGCCAGAGAGCCAGGCTCCCAAAAATGGCTTCTGTTATTTGGAAGACTCTTGGCTGGTTTATCAGAGAGCAAAGCAAGTGTCCTCCAAGCAAGGGCTGGGATGTTAGAAGTAGCACAGCATGGGACGGGACAGTGCTGCATGGGAACCCTGCACCCAGGGACCAGGGCTGCAGGGAGAAAGAGGAAACCAAGGTAAGGACCTTCTTAAAGCCTTCCAGGACACCCTTCAGGTTTTCATATCTCCTGAAGAGATCTGACAGGGACTTCTCCACTGAGTTGAGGTCTGCCAGAGCCTGGTCCTTTTCCATCGTGAGCTGCTGCAGGTTCTTCTGAGATGTCATGTTTGTCCTCTGCTCGTCCTCTGCAACGGAGAATAAAGAGTGTGGACACTGACTGAGCAGGGACAGCCAGAGCAGCCTCCTCCCTGCCCTGCATGGCAGGTGTGGCAGCACCTTACCTATCATCTGGGCAATGGTCTTCTCATACTCAGCCACGATTTTCCTAGAAGAAAGGAAGAAAAACAAGCAGGTGAGAGGCAGCAATTTTTTTGCAGACACACACCAGTGGCTCTCCTGCCAGCAAACTGCTCTGGGTTCTTTCCCAGCCCACAAAGGCAGCCCGAGCAGGAGGAGGAGGCTTTTACCTCATCTCTAACACTTCCTGGTGGCTCTCTTCGTATTTCTTCTTCCACTCATTTGCTTCAATCTCCTTGGTGATTATCTAGGTTGCAGCAGACACAGGACCCTCAGGACATGCTCTGGGTGGTCTCGGTTGCTGCCCCACATCCTCGAGGTGCAGGGGAGCAGGGGGATGGGTGCACCCCGGGGTTCCCAGCCCTCACCTCCTCTCTGATGAGCGTGAGCACGGCCGTCTTCTCGGATTCACTGAGGCAGATGCTGTCCAGGGGACTCTCACTCCTGCTCACACCAGTGATGGCCATGGGGGACTTGTCCGTGGAGCACAGCCCAGGATTTCCCTGGAGGGAATTATCCAGCCAGGATACTGTGTGAGGGTTTGTTTGTTTTTTCACCCCACCTCCCCATTTGGGGTGTTCTCCCCTGTTTTGTTCCTCTGTTCAAGCACCAAACCTCCCAACCTGCACACACGGTGCTCAGAGCCTGATGTCAGGGACACCTGATAGAGCCCACAGGGGGATTTCAGTGCATGTTCTGCCCAGTCCCTCACAAGGAGCTGGTGCTGTGCTGTAGGGCATCCAAGGGCCATAGGACCATGGGCCCCAGATCCTGCTCCTTTCCACCAGTGCTGCAGCCACAGGGACCAAACTGGGGGAGAGCTCAGCCCTGAGACCCAGAGCCAAGTCCTGCCTGGACGATGGGCCCCACCCTCCCCTCGGGGGTCACACAGCCTGAAAGGCCTCCAGCAGAACATTCCTTCAACCCCAGGTTTCAGCACTGCCTGCTCCTCCTTTTCTCACCCCAGCTGTGACAGCCTGTGCAGCCATCGCTGGGGAACGGGCTGCCAGGCCATAAATAGAGAAGTGCTCGGGAGGAGACAAGGCTGCTTTGGCTGTTTTGGAAACCAGAGCACAAAAGCACTGCTCTCTCCTCCCAGGCTGTGACTCCTGCTCAGGTCCCAGCACAACTGAGCCCTTCACAGCCCCCACAGCTCTGCTGCCTGCAGCAGTGGGTGAGCAGTGACCAGGGGGCAGGAGCCACCCTAGAGCCACCCCCGGCTGCAGGTTTGGGTCCAGGCAGCCAAACACCAGGGATGTTCAGCCCTGTGTGGTTTTGGCAGCAGCCTCCCCAGGCTCTGGGCTGGTCTTGGCTCATCAACAGGAGCAGAGCCTGCCCATGCTCCCCCAGCACCAAACTGAAAGTTCACTTTGCCTGGTGTCCTTGTGGGGCTTAGCATAGTTAAACCTGTCTCAGATAAGCTAATTTTGCTGATGTTGCTAATCTCATTGTCAGCTGCTTGCCACCTCGAGCAGCTTTGGCCAGGGGCACTGAGCTGGCACAGGGTTCCTGCAGCAGGGGGGTCTTGGGGCACATTGGGGGTGCCCTAATGCAGATGTGCCACCACTGGGCTGCCAGGGTCACTGGTGGCTGCAGGGCCAGGGATGTTTTCATTAATCCCATCATCTTTGCTGTGGGCTGCCTTCTTGAAGGCAGCATTTCAGGAGCCCTTGTAGAAGGCACCGGCACCAGACGGATGTCAGAGCCGGCCCTGGACTCTTCCACGTGAGACACAACCCCTGTCCTGTGGCTCGTCCCTTCCCCATCATCTCCTCTGCCCTTTCACTGTCATTCAGCCACGTCCAGCTGCACCTTGGCTCTGGCTGCTGCCCCACAGCCCACGGGCCAGCCCTGCTCCATCCCCAGCAGCTGCCCCCACCCACAGCTCCCACCAGGAGGGACCCATCCTCTGCCAGGCTCCTCCTGGCCTGCTGGGAAACCACCCCAGTTCTATCAAGTCCCTGCAAGGGTTTTTCAATAATTTCAGCTCCCAAAGAAACTGATTTCAGAGAGGTTTTGGTAGCACACCAGCACCAGCACAGCCTGCCCAGCACAACCACCCTGAGCCTCCTGTGGGCAAGGGAGGAGGGAGCAAGAAGCACTCACGGGGAAGATGCCAGGCTCATCTTTTTCCACCTGCTTGCAGATCTCCTTTTCAAAGCCTAAAGACAAGGAAACACACCCTTTTAGCTCCCTCGAATGAAGGACCCGGCAGCACATGCAGAATTTCTGGGATGCAGAGGGTCCTGAGCACCCCCGGAGCTTCCCCCTCCCGAAAGGCTTCTCCTGCCCCTGAAGGAAGGACACATCCTGCTTCCCTGCCCTTCTCCCCTCCTGCCCTCCCTGCAG